TGAAAGGTAAGAGATCTTAGTATATAGGACGAACCGGAATATTGATTGGAATTTTATTAATGTTTGGTGTATTATATGAGGAAGTTTTCACGGGGTTTCTGGGCAAATTGTTATTATTCAAGTTTCCTGGTCATTGTGTAAACAATATTCTCAAATGCTTCCTGCTTATGTTTCTGTCAGTGCAAATAAAACATCATTTACTTAGGTAATCTGTGACAAAACCTTTCTCTCAAGTGATGGCGTGTAACGTACAGAATAGCATACTCGGATTAACGGTCGGTCAGCCACAAGAAGAATGCCTGAGCATTGCAACATTCATATTTGCTGACAATGAAAAGAAATTCCCATACCGTGTTGGTTATTTTCTTAAACCAGATGCCTCTCCTCGATAGTTAGTTTTCATCTACCACTGTCCAGATCACGCATTCGCTCTGCAGTAAATCCCCACCTTGTAACTCTGCGTGTATTATACATACTGGAACGTGTGGCGTGTGCCTTTCAGTGTTTGATGTGTGTCTGTGTGGGTGTGTTTGATGTGTGTCTGTGCGTCGGGTCGGGTCGGGTCGTGTCGTGTCGTGGCGTGGCGCTGCGCGGCGTGGCGTGGCGTGGCGTGGCGTGGCGTGGTGTATGTTCGTGTGTGTCTGAGTGTACCTTCGTGCGTTTATGTCTGGCGTTAATGTGTGCCTTTACCATTGATGTGAATGTGTGGTGTATGCATGTGTGTGTGTGTGTTTGTGTGGAGGTATGTGTACGTGCCTGATTTTGTATGATCTACCTTCAGTTGCTGGCGATACTCAGCCCGTTTTTATATTGTATTGTCCTAATTTAAAATCCAATTTTAGAGATAGATGTTAGTATTAATTCTTGATACTGTGATATTCTTGTTGGTTTTACCGTCCTTCGTCGACAGGTATTTAAAATGAATGTATTTATCATAAATTTAAAACTAATTTTAGTTACGATATGGCTGAAATACTGCCAGTGTGACTATAAACTTTAACTCACTCACTCACTCACCCATTGAGTATGCGCCTGTGTATTGTCTGTGGTGTATGTGCATGTGTGTTTGAGGTGTGTGATGAATGAGTGAAAAGCGTGTGCGTGTGCGTGTGCGTATACCTAAGCGTTGGCCAAATGGGTGTCGGCTCATGAGGTCGACTTTTTATAAAGCTCAGGACGTCGACAAGCGGTACGCTTTGAAGTTTTGGTGTTGGCCAAATGCCCAATTCTATTGTCAAGCTTGATTTACAATCAGGCGCATCATATGCTAGAAGCAAGAGTGGGAGCAAGTGTTACATTCTCCTAATCAATGATCACTCGAGGAGGTCGGTGTAAGAGGGAAGTCCATACATATCATGCAGCCCACCGTTTCCATCACACCCTTTAACAACAAAAACAGATTGACAGGGCATCAGTCGTGGGTATTTGACACGACATGGATTTTTAAGTCAGAATACCTGCCTTTTTCCAGCCATCGTGGGAAAGTTTGTCATTCGTGATCAGAAAATAATCAATGACTCCGTGTTGTCCTTACGACCGTCTCCAGGTAACCAGTGCCGAGTCATTGATTTGGATGGAGAGAATGGCTTCTTTCACAGTCGATTTCTGTCTGTTTTTTACGCCAAAGATACTTTTCATTTGGTTGTTGTTTTCGTCTTTAACAGTGGAGTCAACACGTGGTTTTACTGTTGGGGCTGGTGCTTGCGGTAATGGCGATAAAATAGTGTGAAGAGTAATGAAATTGTATAGAATTACAACAGTTAAGCATGATACGTTTATGTTTTAGCAGCCACGACATCACATAAAGTCAAGCAACCGAGTCGCAGGGGTCCTCACGCAAACAACATATCTTTAAACCACGGAATCGTATGGGAACTCTGGCACAGAAGTTTGCTTGACGTCTCACTGGTTCTGCAAGCGCTCTCGGTGAATTTTGGATTCAGTATTGTGCGACAGAGGCAACTGGGATGATACAAGTTTGAGTATCCACCATGCTTATTCGACGTTGGCCACGATGCAGCGTCAGACACTGGCTGCTGATCATGATGATGACGTCGACGTTCATGTTGTTACTGTGGACATTTCCGCCGATGACGACCACCTGCTCTACCGGAAGTGGTAAGCTTTGCGCTAATGCCCTAATTTGATGGACACTTTGTGGCGAAGAGAACTGTTTGAACAGAACGCTATCATCTAATTGATACTGATTCAAAAACCAGACCGTACTCGCACAATAGACTGTTTTGGTTACAGAAATGAGTAATGATTGAATATAATAATGTTTTTACATACCCTATTCCGTTTTTTGCAAAGTTAACGTGGCTCAATATAACGTTTACTGGTCAATACGAAATGTTATACATCTTTAAGGGGTTGCTATGACACAGGGTACCTATTTACCATTGTAAATACTCAAGTATTTTCAGGTTCAGCTTCCTTTGTGTATCCTTTACATGTCACATGCTATTGCGATCGACGTTTTGTATAATGACCATAATACATATTAAACTAAGTCCCTTCAGCCATGACCAATTAGTAGCATTTCCGACAGGGTCCATTGTGTCGTTAAGTAGTTGTCGCAGAAGGAAATAAAGAAGGTAGTGGATCAGGTCTTTGTGAACTCATTAACTACCTCTGGTTGGTCGATGCCCTCAAGTTCTTAGGTGCAATTACATGCTACGTCAGAACATACACGAACTTAGACCGACCAATGAAATGACAGGAAGTTAAAGCTACTCGGAAAGAAGCTTTATCGGGTTTTACGACTTTAGTTAAAAGTCTTTCTAGAATACTATTTGATGAATAGAGTGACAAAGTTCTCGATTCAAAATCTTAAAACTGAACAATAGAGAGTCTAGGTTATACAATGATAAAACACATTAGGACGTTTTGCTACCTTGTAAAGGACGATCTGAGTAATCAGATGAATGGTCGTTCTGACGTAACTTGTAACGGGGTGCTTTCAGATCGGCTTGCAGCAGTAGAGAAAACTTAGATCTGATTATGAGCAGTGCACCAAAATGTCACATATCCCCTTGGGCGCTATTGCGGGTTGGTTGGGTGGTTGTTTAACTCCACACGCAGCAATATTCCAGGTATATGGCGGCGGTATCTAAGTAATCGACCAGACAATCCAGTGATCAACAGTATGAGCATCGATCTACGCAATTGGGATGCGATGACATGTGTCAACCAAATCACCGAGCCTGACCACCCAATCTCGTTAGTCGCCTCTTACGACAATCATAGGTTACTAAAGACCAATTCTAACCCGGATCTTCACGGGTCTGCCATTACGGGAATGCTCCCTAAAGCGTCATACCACCTCATATAATGCAGTCGTCTGGTTACAAGCTGTGTGGACTTGCTTTTAGGTGTCTAATGCTGACTTTAAAGGGATATAGACAATGTATGTACAGACCAGTGTTATGTAGTTGGAATACTGGTGACTGTTAAACAGTATCCTCTGACAACTACTTGTATCACAACATCAACTCTGTCCGTCACTCTCAAGTGGAGTTGGTCCACTCTGTTCTTTGTTGCGCAGAGCTGTTTCCCTCACCATGATCTCTCGTCGAATGTCATGACTAAAACTGTGTCCCTTAGGCTTACCATCACCTGTTGTTGAATGACATGACTGGAGCTGTGTCCTTAGGCTTACCATGATCTGTTGTTGATGACATGACTAGAGCTGTGTCCTTAGGCTTACCATGATCTGTTGTTGAATGACATGATTAGAGCTGTGTCCCTTAGGCTTACCATGATCTGTTGTTGAATGACATGATTAGAGCTGTGTCCCTTAACCTTACCATGATCTCTCGTCGAATGTCATGACTAAAACTGTGTCCTTAGGCTTACCATGATCTGTTGTTGATGACATGACTAGAGCTGTGTCCTTAGGCTTACCATGATCTGTTGTTGAATGACATGATTAGAGCTGTGTCCCTTAGGCTTACCATGATCTGTTGTTGAATGACATGATTAGAGCTGTGTCCCTTAGGCTTACCATGATCTGTTGTTGAATGACATATCTAGAGCTGTGTCCCTTAGGCTTACCATGATCTGTTGTCGAATGACATGACTAGAGCTGTGTCCCTTAGGCTGACTAGAGCTGTGTCCCTTAGGCTTACCATGATCTGTTGTTGAATGACATGACTAGAGATGTGTCCCTTTGGCTTACCATGATCTGTTGTCGAATGATTAGAGCTGTGTCCCTTAGACTTGCCATAATCTGCAGTAGAATGACATGATTAGTGATTTGCTTGTCAGAACCAACAATAACAGTGGAAAACATCTAAGACTTGAATCAGTTTGGATGTTCCTCCAACATATTTATAACTGGAACTCTGTCCAAAGCGATTGTCTGGTCCAGACTCGATTATTTACAGACCGCCGCCATATAGCTGGAATATTGCTGAGTGCGGCGCAAAACTGAACTTACTCACTCACTATCCAAAGCAGTATGAATGCCAAACCACTACTTGCCCTGACGACCGCTTCCGTGGTGTAGTGGTAAAAGCGTCCGCCCGGGGAGCGGACGCGGGTTCGATCCCCGATCGCGTCATACCAAAAGACGTTAAAATATGGTACTTGTTGGTGCCTGTCTGGCGCTCGGCATTAATGGGTACAACAAGGACTGGTCGACTCGGAGTCAGTATAATGTGTCTGAGTGGGGTATTCATGCTTCACTGCGGCTTGGTATCTCAGTGGGCTAGCACTATAAAACCAGCTTCAGTCTGGGCTAGTACAAACAGCCGCACATACACATACACATGCATGCACGTCGTCATATGAGCGAAATAGTCTTAAGCACGACGTTAAACCCAATTTCACCTCACCTCACTTGCCCTGACTCTTGTCCGAATCCATAGAGTAACATAAGAACACGTTGCAGTAACGGCTACCTGGTCTGCCATCTGCATACCAGCATCAGTATCTATATAGCACATGTTACATGAAACCACTTCACCGTGACAGTACCTTCAACATTTATTTTGTAGGCACGGTACTGGACGACAACAACGCAGCGAGACGTTACACGGTAGGTGTCTGTCTAAATAGCGGTTGGATTGCAAGTTTGTTTCCAAGGCAGTTGTCTTGGTAAAAGGTATTGGAATCAATGGGTTCGGGTTTATGTAAAATATACTGAACATCATTGAAAACGCACCACTTATAAAAGTTCAGATTATTAAAAGCACGTGTAAGGAATTGATATTTTCTGTGTGGATAATAACAGACTGACAAAAACAACAACACTGAAAAGACGCTCATTCATTGAAATGTTCCAGTCAGAAAGGATCAAACACACGTGGGGTCAAATCGAAAAGTCAGTATCGCGTGTGACCGCCATTTGCATTGACACATGCAGTTCAACGTCTCCTCATTGAGTCAATAAGCGTCCGAATAGAGTTCTTGAGGATGGCATTCCACCTCTGCAGTAGTGCAGCCTCAAGTTCCCGGATGTTTCGCATCTGTTGTCGCCGCTAAAGACGTTGACCAATTTCGTCCCACAAGTGCTCCATGGGGGATACATCTGGCGACTGTGCTGGCCAATGAATAACCTGGATGTGTAGCTGGGCCAGATACTGGATGGAAAGCCTTGTTGTGTGTGCCCGTGCGTTGTCCTGTTGAAAAGTATGGACATCTTGTGGTGATTGAAGACAGATACGATGTGATTCTGAAGAATCTGCTCACGTTAACAAAGGGCATTAACTCTCCCTTGACAGACATGAAGGCATTCCTGTGATTGTAATTTATTCCACCCCAGACCATGACACTCCCACCACCCAAAGGCCTGTCTGAACCACACACTCATCAGCATAACGTTCACCGCGTCTAAGCTAAACACGTAATCGGCCGTCAGCATTACGTAGATGAAGACGTGACTCGTCAGTGACTACCACACCATACCATTGTTGTAACCTTTACTGAATATGCCTGCTAACCCATTGTATACGCTCATTACGGTGTCTGTCAGTCAGAATTGGTCAAACGTAAGGACGTCGAGCATGGAGCCATGTAGCGTATAGACGGCGTCGCATGGAGTCAGCGCTGATGACCCCACGTCAACCGTGAACTAGTGCAGCAGTCCTTGCAGTCGGCAGTGTTCAATCACTGATATGGACAAGGTCAATATGGCGATCCTGATGGAGCGTCGTAACACGTTGTTGCCACGGTCATTGAAGGTCACGGGTGCTGCCTGTCTACTGATGTCGTCTATGAAGCCTAACGATGGTGGAGTGGCCAAGTCCAAGTTGTCGAGCAATATCCCTGCTGCTGGTGCCAAGCTGAATCATGCCTAGTGCACGTTCTCTTTCGTCAGGTGTTAACCTCGGCATCTCTGTCCTCGTCTCACAATCGTTAGTGAAGCAATGAGAATCGGTTCTCATACACCTGCTTTTAATGTCACAGTCAGTATGATTTCGCGCCTTTTTTCATGGCGTGGCTGCATGTTGATGCATTTTGGAATTAAGAGTCATACAGTGGACAGGAACTTGTTTCTAAAGCATTTTGTTTCAACTGGACATGCGCTTCGACTTCATGTTAGTTATACCCATTGATCATTGTCATGCTGAAATCCATCTTGATGAAAATATGGACAATTTTAGACTGGTGCGTTTTCAGTGATGTTCAGTATATTATAAAGCTAACAGTCTTTGACAGTCTTTAACAGTCTTTAACAGTCTTTCTATACCCCTCCTTCTGGTGAACTTTGCAGAAGATTTGGAATTAGGAGCTTTTGTACACACAATAGTTTGTTGGTACATTCTTGCTATGGTAGTGTGGTGATAGGATGTCTTTCTCATTCATGAAACGTAGTGTACTGAAGGCAGTTATACACATATGAGGTGAGGTCAGGTGAGGTGAAACGGGGTTTATCGTCGGGCTTAAGAATATTTCGCTTATATGTCGACGTGCATGCGTGTGTATGTGTGGCTGGTTGTACTAGACCAGACTTAAGCTGGTTTTATAGTGCTAGCCCACTGAGATACCAGGTGGCAGTTCAGCACGAATACCCCACTCAGACACATTATACGGACTCCGAACCGACCAGTCCTTGTTGGTACCCATTAATGCTGAGCGCCAGACAGGGATCAACAAGTACCACAGTTTAACGTATTTTGGTATGACGCGGTCAGGGATCGAACCCGCGACCTTCCGCTCTCCGGGTTGACGCTTACAGCCTAAAGGAGTGTCGTGGATAAGTGTAAAAGGTTAAACAGGATTGGAAAGCGTTAGCCACTTTATACATTAGCCTTAAGTGCATTTAGTTTGCCTGAAATGAAGAAAGTCCAGATCAGGGAGAATTTACAAAGTCACGGATTTTCCTGATTTAGGTAAATTTGTTTCACTGTGGGCAGAGATCAGGATGATTCAGTCTGATTGAGACAGAGTCCATTGTAGACCTGTAAAACATATAAATGTTAATCTTGCTTCTCGTTGGATGGTTATTGCTGGTGATATACCGAGTATTTTACTTTGGTCCATATCCGTGAAGTGAATATTTACTTGTAACGAGGTTAGTATTTGAACATACTCGATTATGTCAATGACCAATTATACCAATGACCACTTGAACAACTCTGATCTCGTTCATTTCATTTGCAGCAGCCACATGAAGACACGTGGGGTGAAGCCATTCCCGTCGTTGGGAAACCGAGACTGCAGAAAGGTAACGCCAACTGAAGGAGCATACCATGAGAAAACCTAAGTGGCATAATACACCGATGCCTGTCAGATCAGTTAGGGGGGCATAGGGGTCATAATACACCGATGCCTGTCAGATCAGTTAGGGGCATAGGGATCAGTCATAATAATACACCACCGATGGCTGTCAGATCAGTTAGGGGCACGTTAGGGGGCATAGAGGTCATAATACACCGATGGCTGTCAGATCAGTTAGGGGCACGGAGGTCATAATACACCGATGCCTGTCAGATCAGTTAGGGGCACGGAGGTCATAATACACCGATGCCTGTCAGATCAGTTAGGGGCACGGAGGTCATAATACACCGATGCCTGTCAGATCAGTTAGGGGCACGGAGGTCATAATACACCGATGCCTATCAGATAAGTTAGGGGGCACGGAGGTCATAATACACCGATGCCTGTCAGATAAGTTAGGGGCATAGGGGTCATAATACAATCGTAAGATCAGTTAGGGGGCACCGATGGCTGTCAGATCAGTTAGGGGGCATAATACACCGATGCCTGTCAGATCAGTTAGGGGGCATAGAGGTCATAATACACCGATGCCTGTCAGATCAGTTAGGGGCACGGAGGTCATAATACACCGATGCCTGTCAGATCAGTTAGGGGCACGGAGGTCATAATACACCGATGCCTTAGTCACCGATGCCTGTCAGATCAGTTAGGGGCACGGAGGTCATAATACACCGATGCCTATCAGATGGTCATAATACACCGATGCCTATCAGATAAGTTAGGGGGCATAGGGGTCATAATACACCGATGCCTGTCAGATCAGTTAGGGTGCACGGAGGTCATAATACACCGATGCCTGTCAGATGAGTTAGGGGCACGGAGGCCATGATAGACCGATGCCTGTCAGATGGTCAGATGAGTTAGGCCATGATAGCCGACGGAGAGTCATAATACACCGATGCCTGTCAGATGAGTTAGGGTGCTCGGAGGCCATGATAGACCGATGCCTGTCAGATCAGTTAGGGTGCACGGAGGCCATGATAGACCGATGCCTGTCAGATCAGTTAGGGTGCACGGAGGCCATGATAGACCGATGCCTGTCAGATCAGTTAGGGTGCACGGAGGCCATGATAGACCGATGCCTGTCAGATCAGTTAGGGTGCACGGAGGTCATAAGAGACCGATGCCTGTCAGAGATGTCTGTTAGGGTGCACGGAGGCAATAATAGACCGATGTCTGTCAGATCAGTTTTAGGGTGCACGGAGGCCATGATAGACCGATGCCTGTCAGATCATTTAGGGTGCACGGAGGTCATATTAGACCGATGCCTGTCAGATCAATTAGGGGGCACGGAGGCCATAATAGACCGATGCCTGTCAGATCATTTAGGGGGCACGGAGGCCATAATAGACCGATGCCTGTCAGATCAGTTAGGGGGCACAGAGGCCATGATAGACCGATGCCTGTCAGATCAGTGAACCACGATTCGTGGGGTACGTTGGTAGTCAATGATACCACAGCATCTAACCACCGATCCATTAGGGTGCCTTTTACGACCAGCATTGGGCGCTGGGAACCAACGCTGACCTGCGATCCCAAAGAATACTCACTCGCCTGAACTGACAATCTTGTCCAATCAGCCCGTTCCACTCCATGCTGCTTCAACAAAGCAGTCTGTCAGATAACAGGTAATGTGTCCAGCAGTTCAGATAGATGTTGCGCGAGGCAACAAATCACACACCAAAGCATTTTTCTACTGATAAGTGTCTTAAACCTACATTGTGTGGTGACCGAAGGGTAAGATGAACAAACTCATTTAATGCACATGTAAGCAAACAAGAACCAATGTAACCATGTTTCATATAAGACTACGCCTAACATTGCTTCTTTTTCAGGTTTCCTAACAATTGGAATACCAACAGTGTGCAGGGAAAATGGAACATACCTATTGTCAACGTTACAGTCACTGATCGACCACAGCACTGAAACTGACCGCCAGAACACAACTATTGTTATTTCTGTGAACGATCACAACGCCACCTATATTTCGGAATTGAAACATTCTCTCACAGATGAGTTTTCAGCGTATGTTCTGAACGGATTTATTCATGTGATAACACCGCCAGATAGCTACTACCCGCCTTTAGACTCACTGAGGTCAACATTCGGAGATGCAGAATACAGAGTCAAATGGAGGTCAAAACAGAATCTTGACTATGCATTTTTAATGAACTATGCAAAAGGTTTATCCGAGTACTATTTGCAGCTGGAGGATGACGTCACAGCCGCGGAAGGATACGTACAAAAAATAAGGTCCTACATCCAGGAGCGGAAGCACACGTGGACGATGCTGGACTTTTCAGTCATGGGTTACATTGGAAAACTTTACAAGAGTATTGATATTCCTAAACTTGCGAACCTCTTGCGATCTTTCTACAACGAACAACCATGTGACTTCTTGCTGTTGCATTTTCTGAATCTGATGTTACAAAAGAAACGATTTGTCAGAATTCCGACGCTATTTAATCACGTGGGTTATCATTCTTCATTGAGTAATACGACCCGTGATATGGTGGATGTGTACTTTGAAGGTCGTGTTAAAAAACACAAGGGAGATAATCCACCAGCTCAGTTGTATTCCACTATAGACACATTTGAAGACAATTATATTAGCATGGCTTATAACAAATCACAAACTGGAAGATTTTTCTGGGGACGAAACCCCAATTCTGGAGATACAATTACTGTAATATTTGATAATCCCCAGGATATAAGTGGTGTTGCCATAGAAACGGGTCATTTCGCTGACCCGGAAAGAGACCGGGCACATGACGCCATTTTGGAATATGGCAGGCGGTATACAGCTTTGGTTAAACCGCCATCTTGTATTCCTGTTGCTTTGATAGGATCATTTACGGAAGGTCGCTTGGATTATCACAACGGAACCATTTCAGATGTACAATGTTTACAGATAACACTTATGGAAAAACACAAACAATGGTTGATAGTGAAAGAAATCGCTGTGTTCCTGAAGAAGTTTTAGGTAGAAATGTTTCATATTTACCTATCATTTCATGTTCTTGACCCACAGGTCACACGCAACCTCACCTTCTATAGATGTAGAAGTTTATTTTTAATTTTTTTAATTAACGCATGAAGTTTGAATATGTCTTGAATGCGGACTAAATGTCCCAGCGTTTCAAGCGTCATTTGTCAGGAATTATTTTTACAAAAGGAATTTGTTTCCGAGGAAATCTTCCAACCCAAGAATAATCTTGAACACAAATACTCGTTGGCTACAGAATCTTTATCGGTGATGTTGGATCTCAGTTCAATTGTTTCACTATGTATTGATCAAAATGTAAATAATAAGAAAAACGCTCCGATTTATTTAGACATCCCCCTTACCTAGAAACATAGAACAAAGATATGGAGCTTAGTGAACTATCAATCCAGAAAGTTCAGGAGCAAAATGCATTATTACTCATTAATATGTGTACATGAAAGTAAAAGTGTTCCTTCATTTATTTGCAGAATTTTACTCACAGTGCAATAAATACCACGTGAAGAAACCTTGAAAGGAATAAAGGAATAGTTGTACTTTCATGTGTTCCCTTATTCGTTTCCATGAGTATATAGGCAGCGAGAAATGACCTTGGCACCACGGCTCAAAGTAGTATTTAGCCTTGACAAAGTTTTAACTGCGAGTTACAAAGGTTACATACTCTTTCTGTTCATGCGAGATTCGTCCATCTCCCACTTTCTATTGACAAATTATGGTTAGATTTTTAAAACATAGAATAGGTTTGCAAATATTTTGAGACAGCAGTAAGTATTTGTCGAGTGAAGGTGAGTTTTTAAAAATCTTATAATATTGTCCTTTAGATGATTTCACTGGTCTCAGGATTGATTCAGATTTTGATATGATCCAGGATTGAGTATAATGCAAGGGGTTTACAAATACAGACGCATTTACAAAATATATGTTTCACATGATTTAGCCAGGGAGCATCATCCATAAAATAATCTTCCAAGTTGGTTGTTGGTATATCTAAGATCGGGGCGACCCCCATCTGCAGTAGGGGTGTAAAAAAAAAAAATGTTTTGCGATCTTACGCCATTTTATCTGTTTGTACACATGGCAACAAACTAAACCATTAACATTATTATTATGTTTTACAGATTAACATTTATTATTATTTTGTGATATTATTATGATATGTTATATACCTATTACTATATTATATTGTGCTAATTAAAGAAACAAAACCTGTTGTGATCTGAATAAAATGATGAGGAAAGATGTCTTGTTTTGTTAAATACGGTAACGCGTTTGAATCACTAAGCATATTTTGACAGCATAACCGGGAGAGCCACATTCCATGTTCACGCAACCGTAACTATTGCCGGGAGAGCCACATCAATTTAGGCTATCTGTTTCGGAAATGTGGCATTTCCGGCCTGTAACCTTATCAACACCCTACATCCACGCTCATCAGCGCACCTGTCAACACGCTACGTCCATGCCTGCAGCTTCATTCTGACTGATTGAGAGAATTAAATCAAATTATTACACCATTCCATGTTAAGTGCAGACTCGATATACGAGTTGTGTCTTGCACAACAGAACAAAACTAGCAAACCCTACATAATTTCGCAAATCTCGCATAAATCCACCAGCACACATAACCAAGCTCAAGTATAGAAACATTCCACGGGGTGGCATACAAATTAAAGCTAACGTCGCTGTCATTTACCATGTTAATAAATACTTCAACAAAATTCTAAAATTACCTCCCACCAATTAAATAAACCCTAAAACAGACTCTAAATCATAAGGCCCGACCACAACCACTTACGATAAACTAAACTCGGCAAAAGTAATTGTCCCCATATCATATGTGTTCAGGAAACTCACTTCACTCCCAAATCAAAGTTCACCCTACCCCGTTTTAAACCAGAAAGACTCCATTGACCCAAATCTTGATCATGCCAGGAAGGAAATAAACCACAAAGAGATAAAGAGATAATTTCTCCTAAAGTAGAAACCAAATCCAAGGAACAATAAATGTCGCCAACATATACAATTGCAGAAATAAACCAATAAAGCATGAGGATCTCTAGGCCCTCAAGGAGGTAGACGCATATTCCCCCATCTACTTGGGGAACTTTAACACCCACCGACCCTCCTAGAAGAAAGATCAATACCGCCAATAGCCTACTGGATTGATCAGAATAACCTTGTACTGTTAAATAACAACCAACTACGTAGGTACGGTAGTCAGCACCAAACTATTTCTGTTATCGACTTTACAATCTGCACACAGGACTTCGCTCAATGTACTCAGTGAGAATTGCATCAGGACCCGTTGCACAGCAACCACTGTCATTTCCATAGAACAGTTAGCAAAATAAAAAAGAGGAACCCAGAGTAGTCCACAAAATTCTTCTGCAACAAAGTTGGGTAAAATTCCCAAACTTGCCTAAACCAAACTAACTAGAAAACAGAGACCCGGAATTTTTTTCCAAGGTGACTGAGCGGGTTAGGCGGCTGACTTTGTGTGCTGGTGATTAGGTGCCAGACTTTGAGGGTGTGGGTTCGAATTCCGCATGGGACTCAACCCAAAAACGTACTAGAGTTTGTACTTTAATAAGAAAGTGTAATCCCAAATATAACATATGTTAGCTACATTTGACCACTATCTAAAATGGCATTGTGTAATCAAACACTTATAAGCCCACTAAACCCAAGTCTTCAAAACCTTAGGTATATTTCTAATCACAACTGGCCTTTTAGGTCGAATAAAAGTACTAAATGCCACATAATCCATAACCCACTAGTACCAATAAAAACAAACCGAAACTCATTACCTGATATGACCCCCTCCCCATTTAAAAGACAACAACACCCAAACAAAAACAAAAAGCAAACCCACAACCCACCCCGACCCCAACCAAAGCAAACAACAAATACCAACTGAACTACACTGTACTTCCTCTCCTCCCACCGCTTCTGGCAAATTTCCAAATTCAGACGTTAAACATACAAACGTAATGTTCCTTTCAGATTGCCCTATCTTTTGATCATAGTCACCCCACTTTCGATCAAACACAAAATGTTCTCGTGGATTTGTCTGCGAAATACGTATCATGTCAGTAAGCGTACGTAAAATCTCCAAATCATCGTCGTGAAGTGCAGTCTGTCACTATCCATCGATACCAGCAGGGACCACAACGCCTCTGGATCTAACACACAATCACATCAATCATAGCATGCTGAACGTGTGACCGGGGTGCTAGCGACACGGGTCGATAGACTCCAGAAAAGTACTGGTGAAGGTCGATATGTTCTATTTTTGTATATCAGTTTGATGCAGTACACAGGTGAAGTGACCTACTAAGACAAAAGTAACATTAATTAATACGCCATACTCCTGCACCCCAACTCCGCCCCAAGGCGAATCCAACTTATGCTGTTTTTTATTGCACAGTCTCCACATGTGTGTGACTTGTGACAGCCGGAGAATGTATACCTCAAACTCTGTCCCGTATCTCAAGCCTCGGTAGCGCAGTAGGTAGCGCGTCAGTCTCATAATCAGTCAAGCTTCCAATGTCAGAGCAATCTGAAGGTCGTGAGTTCGATCCTCACCCGGGGCATTTCTTTTTTTGTCTGTTTTTCCTTAATTATCATCACCATATATATGTTCAAAACATTTACAGTGACATGCTCTACTGCTGCGCCCGCCTCAATGAAATTTCTGACCGAAAATATATGACAAGTGCAAAGACGGAATGGCTGTAGAGCCATGCCACACGGTGTGCTTACAACTGGGTGCTTTGACAAAAAATGTATGTTTCACTTCCTTTTCAAGTACAGTCGTCATTAGATCTATCAAGGTTATGTTATGAACTTGTGTTTCGAGGCACACACATTGTACCTTCCATAACCAAGTCGAATCCAACTTATGCTGTTTTTATTGCACAGTCTCCACATGTGTGTGACTTGTGACAGCCGGAGAATGTATACCTCAAACTCTGTCCCGTATCTCAAGCCTCGGTAGCGCAGTAGGTAGCGCGTCAGTCTCATAATCAGTCAAGCTTCCAATGTCAGAGCAATCTGAAGGTCGTGAGTTCGATCCTCACCCGGGGCATTTCTTTTTTTGTCTGTTTTTCCTTAATTATCATCACCATATATATGTTCAAAACATTTACAGTGACATGCTCTACTGCTGCGCCCGCCTCAATGAAATTTCTGACCGAAAATATATGACAAGTGCAAAGACGGAATGGCTGTAGAGCCATGCCACACGGTGTGCTTACAACTGGGTGCTTTGACAAAAATGTATGTTTCACTTCCTTTTCCAAGTACAGTCGTCATTAGATCTATCAAGGTTATGTTATGAACTTGTGTTTCGAGGCACACACATTGTACCTTCCATAACCAAGTCGAATCCAACTTATGCTGTTTTTCATTGCACAGTCTCCACATGTGTGTGACTTGTGACAGCCGGAGAATGTATACCTCAAACTCTGTCCCGTATCTCAAGCCTCGGTAGCGCAGTAGGTAGCGCGTCAGTCTCATAATCAGTCAAGCTTCCAATGTCAGAGCAATCTGAAGGTCGTGAGTTCGATCCTCACCCGGGGCATTTCTTTTTTTGTCTGTTTTTCCTTAATTATCATCACCATATATATGTTCAAAACATTTACAGTGACATGCTCTACTGCTGCGCCCGCCTCAATGAAATTTCTGACCGAAAATATATGACAAGTGCAAAGACGGAATGGCTGTAGAGCCATGCCACACGGTGTGCTTACAACTGGGTGCTTTGACAAAATGTATGTTTCACTTCCTTTTCAAGTACAGTCGTCATTAGATCTATCAAGGTTATGTTATGAACTTGTGTTTCGAGGCACACACATTGTACCTTCCATAACCAAGTCGAATCCAACTTATGCTGTTTTTCATTGCACAGTCTCCACATGTGTGTGACTTGTGACAGCCGGAGAATGTATACCTCAAACTCTGTCCCGTATCTCAAGCCTCGGTAGCGCAGTAGGTAGCGCGTCAGTCTCATAATCAGTCAAGCTTCCAATGTCAGAGCAATCTGAAGGTCGTGAGTTCGATCCTCACCCGGGGCATTTCTTTTTGTCTGTTTTTCCTTAATTATCATCACCATATATATGTTCAAAACATTTACAGTGACATGCTCTACTGCTGCGCCCGCCTCAATGAAATTTCTGACCGAAAATATATGACAAGTGCAAAGACGGAATGGCTGTAGAGCCATGCCACACGGTGTGCTTACAACTGGGTGCTTTGACAAAAATGTATGTTTCACTTCCTTTTCCAAGTACAGTCGTCATTAGATCTATCAAGGTTATGTTATGAACTTGTGTTTCGAGGCACACACATTGTACCTTCCATAACCAAGTCGAATCCAACTTATGCTGTTTTTCATTGCACAGTCTCCACATGTGTGTGACTTGTGACAGCCGGAGAATGTATACCTCAAACTCTGTCCCGTATCTCAAGCCTCGGTAGCGCAGTAGGTAGCGCGTCAGTCTCATAATCAGTCAAGCTTCCAATGTCAGAGCAATCT